AGTACTAGTTCAGAGCAACTGAAGTGATTTAAGGACCTCTCAGTCTTCCTCTCTGCTCATGGGGCTTCAGTGGCCACATCTGAAATACAAGAGTTCTGCTCTCCTGAACCAGAATCTTGAAAAAGATGTTTGGTGTTTTGGGCATCCATCCCATCCTTCCCCCAATAGTTCTTTATCCATGTGGCAGATAACTAATGTTAACACATTTTCTTCTCTAATTTTTTCACCTTTATTAACCTACATGGTTTTAATAACGTATTAAATTTGACTTATTCATCAGACTCCAAGATTTTTTTAGGATAGAAACATAGTAGTTAGTTGTCATGCTCTTTGGAGTGATTATTACTTGCAATGTCAGTTCATTCTCAGCACGTTGCTTTGCAAATCTGTTCGAAGCGCTGCTGAAATTTGGAGCTCATACAGATACTTAGAGCTGAATCTTTACTTGTGCATTATCAGCTGGTCTAAATGAAGGTGGTTAAATTCTTATTTCTTGGTTGAAAGTGATTATGGTGTTTCATCATTGTCTGAGAGTGTATGGCAAAAAAGCTCTTGTGAGACTTTAGAAAGGAAGAAGAACTGAAAAGCTAGTGAAGCCAAGTAGTTACTCAGATCACATCTGAAAAGGGAGTACAAGAAACAAAATTCAGGATTAAAAAGGGAAGTAATAACTTGCGTTAGCATGGTGGTCTTTGGAGAACTAAAATCTATGCTCTTGCCATAACAGCATACAAATTTTGGCAAACAGTTTGGAATATAATATTGGAAAATTTATCTTGGTTATAACTTCCAGCAGATTTATCTTTAACAGATGACAGATTAAAAAGCTAGAGGTCAAACTGAGCCTGAGAGTGATAACAGCTAAAATGAGCCAGCGGAAAATCACGAATGTTTGAACAATTACAGGTTTCCATGTATTAGTATTCATGCAAATGTTCTGTGTTTTACTTGACTTAAACCAATGTTATGTTTTCTTTTAGTCTGTCAGCTCTCCCCTGCAGTCTCTTCAGCAAAGAACATGGCTCATCCACTGGTCTTTGTTTGTGTTTTTTAATCATCCTAAAGGGAGAGACAATATCATTGACCTTTTTCTCTATCAACCACAGTAAGTTGTGTTGCAGTATGTTGGGGTCTTTAAATCCAAATGAAGGCAGATGATGAATATGCAAACTTGTTGAACATTTTTCAGTCAGTTCTTCCTACTGGTGCTTAGAAAGGGGTAGAATAACTGTTTTTGCTAGATTACCAACTCCTACCACATTTTTTACAGCTATAGGGGAAGGTATGGTTCTATTTGAATTTCACAAAACCTATTTAAGAAGGGTTCTTGAGGAAATTCTGAGAACAAAAATGAAAATTGAAACACTGTAGACATTTACGAGAGGGCTAGCTTCTTATGTGTAGATCTAGGAGTCTAGAACAGCTTAACACTGAGAAATTAGTTAAAAGTTTTGCTCTCCTAGTACCTGCTTGGAGGTAGTGTATTAGAATAGGAGAAGAGTACTGAAGAAAAGCAGTTGAATTTTTTGCGCGATGATCCAAGTAGACTGGTACTTTGCAGTGGCTTTTTTGCCTCCTTTTAGTTTCATAGTGTATGTTTGTGTTTGGTTTTTTCAATTTTAATTTATATTTCTCACTTGTAAATACGGGCTAATTCATTGGAAGATTGAACAGGAAAGCTGCAGGCTTGAATGACAATACGAAAAAGGCTTTCCTGTGGTTCTGTGTGCCTGTGCAAACCCCTCTTGTGAAATCAGTGTAGCTGACAGCTTAGGCCTGTGTTGACCTGTAATTAGCACATGGACTGTTCTTTTGCAGTGCTAGCCCTTTTCTTCTCTCCCTAGCGCATTGCTGCCTTCTCTTCCCCTTGCTTCCCTCTCTCCTCCCCCTACCAAAAAGATCATCACTGGTTAACAAAAATAAATAATCCTTCTATAGTTGAATGGATGGTCAGTTATAAGGCCTAGTGTTGTACTGCATAAAAGGTGCATAAGCTATTTATTATGAATACTGTCTTGATGCAAAATTGCTTTATCTGTATTTTTTTTGTATTTTTTGTCTTTCTAGGTATCTCAATGCAATTCAGACAATGTGCCCACATATCCTCAGATATCTGACTACTGCAGTCATAACAAATAAGGATGTTCGAAAACGCAGACAAGTGCTGAAAGATCTAGTCAAGGTTATTCAGCAGGTAAGGACTGAAATATATGATAGTTTCTGTACTTTTTTACTGAGACTTCATAATAACTTTCTTCTAATAGTATGCCTGGTTTAGGACTTGTACTTTTGTATTTTGGGGCTCACTTTCCCTCACTGAACTAGTTTTTCCCTGTGAACTAAAATGCATGTCAGTCAGTGGGAGGACAGAATAACTTTTTTTCCTCCCTTTATGCCAACAAGCAATGGGTAAAATAGAATATACACTTGATTTTGCTTTTCTTTCTGTATGATTAAATGTAGAAAACTCAGCAAGAGATGTGAAATGGCTTTGGATCTGATTATTCTTTCAGCCAGCCCTATAAGTAATTGTTGTACTGATTTTGTTTGCATTTCACAACAACTGAACTGTGTGTGCATTGTTTTGTGTTCATGTGCATTTTCTTGAAAATGCTTCTGTTGTCACGGTTATATGAGGATGTAGACACGGACAAGAGAAATAAAATAATTGTGCTTAGTAGCAATCAAGGGGGTTATGGCAAAGATTTTTTTTTTTATCTGAAATCAGTATGCAACTTGTATATGAGCCACCATACTTCAAACACTTAGTAACGTATATTGTGAATAATAAACTATTATATGTATGTGACAATACAGTTACTATAGGCTAGCAATCAATTATATCCACTTAAAGCTTTGCTGTAACTACCTACGCAAAGCACAATCCATGCAAAGATCAAATTTTAAGCATATCTTAATCTGGTTTTAAGCATTAGTGTTCACAAAAGAAGTAGCTAGAGAAGCTATAAACTAGTTGAAGTGTTAGGACTCATTTTTTTTTATCTTAAGCTAAAACCTGATTTTAGCATTTAACTTCTCAAGTAATATGAATTTCTAATACTTGAAGTACATTAACATTTTACAACTTTTTTTGCTTTAATTTTATCTTGTACAATGGGTATGAATAATAAAAGGATTGCTAGGGTGTTATTTTTGAATGTACCAGCTGTGTTGGTTTTGGTTTTGAAAAGTCTGATAAGAAATTTATTTCTTAATACTCTTCTACTCTGTATGGTTCATCATATTAAATCATGAAGTGGTAGAGGTTTTACGGATTTGAAAGTGGATCAGATGGGATAACCAGGGATCTGTATATGTAGGAAAAACAAAGCATTGAATGAAGTGATTTGTCAAATGACTTATGGTAGGCTGATTGCTTTGTTAACAATTAGAGATTGCTAATACTTGTAATACCTTTGCAAGTATTGAACTTACAAGTAAGCAGTTTGTTGCTTGTTTCTATGAAATTTAAAAGCGGATTGATTGCTAGACTGTTTTACATAGAGGATGTTAATTACAAGGTTAACCAGTACAATTTTGATGTAAAAAAACTGTAAATATAGTTCTTTGGGGAAGGAAAAACTTTGATTCAGAAAAAAAAAATCTGTCTTAGTAGCTCCCTTAGCATACAATGAGATCAGCAGATTAAAGCAGATATCGACAAATAGTGAGTTAAGCTGTCTTAAAATGTGCATTAGAGATGTATCAGAGGATGTTTAGTTAGGTCTTAATTTACACAGATGAATATAGATCTAACGTTGTTCCTGCCTTGTAGTTGGGAAAGTTTGAGTAATTCCTGTAATGCTGAAATAAATTCAAATACTTTTTGTGTATAGAAAGTAGCGGGAAAGTTTGAGTAATTCCTGTAATGCTGAAATTCAAATACTTTTTGTGTATAGAAAGTAGTGTTATTTGTGTTGGCATGTTGTCCATGTAAATCGAATGATCATTCAGTTTGAAGTATGAAGGATTTGGTGTTGGACTAGTCTTCAAAATCAGAATTTAGGAAGACTTTCTTTTTTTACCAAACAGCTGTTTACAGAAACAGCTCTTGTCTCTGACATTTTTCTAACCCAAAGATTGCAGCCCTAAGTGCTGAAGATGAAACTACACTTCTGGTTGTTTAACCAGAGTATTGGGGAGCGGGGGAAAGCACACATTTATGCAGCTTTTATAAGAGGAATTGGGAAGTTTAATATATTTTTTAAGGTGATGTATGGACTTGTTTCCAGTATTAAATTTTGTTTGAAGAATATAAGGAATACTTCAGTGACCCTGTGGCCTTGATTCCTAATATTGTTCCTAATCTTTTGGACAGGAGTCCTACACGTACAGGGACCCTATCACAGAGTTTGTGGAATGCTTGTACGTTAATTTTGATTTTGATGGTGCACAGAAGAAGCTGAGAGAGTGTGAAACAGTAAGGCTTATAACATTTATAAGATACTTCTTCCTTTACATAAAGATCTCTCAAATTCACAATGGCCAGCTAATTTGTTTGAAGTGGTGTTTGATTCTATTGCTAATGTTTTATGATGAGCTCAAGCTCATTCACGGGTGTGTGGTGGTTTTGGTGGGGTTTGTGGTTGGTTGGGGGTTTTCTTTGACAATTCATTTTGTAACACTTAAGCAAGACTTATCGGTGAGGATATAGCTTTAAAATTCTATTTAAGCAATTTTAGAAGAAGAGGAGAATAGGTAATCATGCCTTTGGCTGAGCTTCATCTTTTCCATTAGTGTTTGAGAAGTACTTGAAGAAAAGCTTGGGCTTGACTTTTGTTCTGAAAGATACTGCATCTTGGAACTGTAGTGGTGAAAAGTAATGTGAAATAACATTAGGATAGTTAAATACATATTCCTGAAAAATTCTTAATTAACCTACTATGTACAGTTCAAAATATCTAATACTTGGGTTGACTAGTGTAAAAGTTAGTATTTCTAATAGCTGAAAATTAGTACCAATTCTTAGAGCCTCTGGTTTGGCTTTCCTTTCATTAGTATTAGTCACTTAATTGGGTAAATCAGGAGGCTTACAATCATCTTCACTGCATGGCACTGGTGGTCCTGTAATCTGAACTTTGTAGGCATGCTTGCACTACTAAGTAAGCTGGTTTGCATAGTGAGGAGAACGCTGATCAAACTGCGGAGTGAGAGAAGAATCATAAAATATGAGGGAGGAGTTATATTTTATGTTAGAGGGATCTTCGGTAGAGTTATGGCAGCAGTAGACCTTGTTCTCTTCTTGCGTCAGACCTTGGTGATCTTGCTAGCATGCGATTTTAATTTAGCAAGCTGCAGAACCAACGAAAATTTCTGCTAACTCTTAACTTTTTCTCCATATTTTGGAATATACTAAGAACTGATTTTAGATTAACCATTCACTGATCTTAACTTCCTGACAGTGTCTACTGGTAAATTACTACTTCCATGTTTGTTCTCAGTGTTCCCTTCTTCCTTACGTTTACAGGTGCTTGTGAATGATTTCTTCTTAGTGGCATGCCTTGAGGACTTCATTGAGAATGCTCGTCTCTTTATATTTGAGACTTTTTGTCGCATCCATCAATGCATCAGCATCGGGTAAGATAACTTCTTAACATGGCAGTTCGGAAAAATCAATCATGAATGACAGTTTGACAAACAGTATAAACTTTTTAGTAGTAAAATATTCAGTCATCAGATAAACAAAATACATAAACTAAATATTATAAATAGATGTATATTATAAATAATGCTTTATATATTATGCTATATAAGATGTAATATTTAATATTAGATATAATTGTATACAATATATATTATATAGTAAATTTATATAATATATAATACATAAATACAAACATAAGTTAAACTAATAACTAAATAAAATCTAATTGGATAGTTGTCTTTCTGGTTTCATAGCTCTAATGTGATATACTTAAATTGCACCCATCATATTTTAAAGTTGAATTCTTGTGGTTAACTTTAAAACAACCTCTCTCTACCACCCCCAGCCTGCCAAACAAACAGTTCTTTCAAGCTAAAACTTTCTCATGGTGTCAAGTTAGATGTCTACTGGATTTAATGTGAACTTTCATACCCAGTGTCACCAAAGTCCAGGTGTCTTAATTAAGAGTTCAATTCCATACATACTGATATAGAGTGGTAATATTAAGTAAATACAAATTGCAAATACAGCAGTTGCTTAAATTTATTTATATTTGGTAGATAGTGATACCCATGTCTGTCTTATAGGTATGTTCTTTCAAAATTGGTAGAATTGTATTGCTTTTTTCATTAATTAAATAGAAAGCAATAGACCTTATTCCCTGTGGCACAAAGTGAGTGATCCAGCTGTAAGAGAATGATGTTCTTATTAGCAAAGATGTCTGTTGTTTACTCAAATTAATTTTCTAAAAGCAGACTTTTCAAATGGATCAGCTCTGATGCTTCTATTGTAAAAACTAAGCAGGAAGATGTTGTTATGCATGCTTGAGATCCTTTTCCACTTGGCCTTTGCCCCTGTTCCCCATATTTCCACATCCCTTAAATTAAAAAGGAAAAAAAGTGAACTGAAAAACTCTGAATGCTATAAAAATCTCAATGGTAGAGAACAGTGCAGAAATCCTTGAGACAGCAGAAACAGAGGCTGTTAAATCGATCAAGTTCAATGGAGTCTTGTTACCAGCTTGCATCCAGAGCAAATGTGTGCATCTGGTCCTCTGAGGAAGCTATTTAACGCTGCTTGATTTCAAAAGGGAAGGACTTGAGAGAAAATTGTCTTAGTTTTGCAAGCTTATTGAAAGGGTTGCTTTTTTTCATGGGTAGGTATAGTCAGAGAAAGGACAAAGATTCTTACTACTTTTAAGCTCTGTTTACTGGGTGACACATTTGTCTTCAATGCATTTTGAAATTTATTTTTTTTATCCTTTGTATTGGATTAAAATAGTCAATGACTTCAATATAAAAAGCAAACAGTGAATTTGAGCATTTTAATCAGCTGTGGTGTATTGTGGTTGAAGCATAGTCATAACAGTAAACTGAACTGGATGCTGTGAACAAAACTTTTCCATACTTCATTTTTATAAGGGGGTCTAATACTTTATCTAAAATCACTTTAAGCAGAGTACTGCACACTTAAGGTTTAAAGGGTGTTTGAATAAGTATTTGGAAGAAAAAAATGTAAATAAAGATCCCTTAGTGGTGAATTTCTGGGGAATATAAAACCCAATAGTGTCTTGCTGTTCTCTATAAATGACTTCTAGTATTGTGAATACAGCAAATATTCATGCACAAGTTTTTCAGTGAAACTAGATGTTTAAGCCTTTTTAACTGAAGACTAGATGTCTTTCTAAGAAGTCTGCTTCTCTGATCTGGCTCCAATCAATGAGCAAAGAGTCCGAAGGATGTATCTTAAGTATGCTTCAAGTCTCACTGTCAAAAGATGCTGATAAACTGTGGGTAACATAGCAATGTTTCATTACAGCAGAAAGAGCAAGCTTTATTGAACAAATGAAGGTTTATGGTAGGTGGCTGTCATTTATTTAGTGTCTAGTACTTATTTTACAGGGGTGGTTTTTGTGCCATATGTGGTATTTCAACTTCCAAGTATGATAGAAAATAGTTGGCTCTCCTTGTTACGTCTAAGTGTAAGGAGGTAGTAGTGTCTTTATTTTATAAGCATTACGGTGTGTCCTGGAGCAAGTGATAGACTTTGAGTTGAGACCTACGTTTCAGATTGACGTGGATATTCCTACCACGTATCACTTCATGTGGATTGCATGTGGAATCGGTCATCAGTAGTGAGATTCTTTTCAGTAGGTCATTGTGTTTTAAATAGTGGACATAAGCCTTACATTTCTGCACAAGCTGTAACAATCATTAGATTTGGGCTTATTAAGTGGGATGCCTACGTATTTCTTAGTGCATATCAGACTTGTTTTTGAGGAAATCGGCCAGTCAAAATGCTTCTAATTAAAATTTGACTGAGGCATAGTTCTTGCATTTCTTTGTCCACAAGTGATTTCCACTGCTATTCCTGGACTTGAAAACTAGTTGGTTGTACCACAGTGCTTGATAAGTACTGTTTAACTATTCAGAACAAATTTGAAAACAATTAGTGGGAAATCTGCTATTCCTTATGTTAAATGGAAAATAGATGGCTCATTTAATATTTTTTTTTTAACTACTTACAGCTGTTAGGCAGCTGACATTTTTCCAAAGGATGTAGTTGCTTTATCAGTTATAACTTAAAATTTATACATCTGAAATCATCCTGCAATTAGTTTACTCTTTGAAATATCATGTTTAATCGGGAGTAATAGATGAAATTAATTCAGAATGTGTTTTGGTTAGTTTGATATGCCTGTAGTTAACTGAAGAGCTGAATATGCTTTACTCTTCCTTTCTAGATAGTTTTCTGTTTGCACAGTACAAGATAGACTTGTTTAGATATGAAAATGTGTGGAATTCAGTAAACATGCCTTTTAAGGAAAGGAAAACTTAAATAACACATGTCTTAGCATGACCCAAATAAGTGAATCTCCTTATAAAACAGAGGGACAGAAATTATCTAAAGAACTGGTTTTGAAACTATTATTGGGAAACTACCCTTTGAAATCACCTGTAACTTGAAATGGTAGACAGCATTCTTTAAATATTAATAATATTATTTAATTATAGTTCACTAATTTTTATTGGGTTATAGTGAGGATCTTTATGAACAATGGTAATCTAGAACACAACTTTTCTTGCTTTTTTTTTCTATTCGCTTCACTTCATGTTTTTCTGTGTCAAAAACGGAATTTACTTTTATAGTTGGCAGAAGGGTAAGAGATCAAGAACCTATAGGAGAGAATAACGTGTAAAGAAGACTACATAGATAGTCTAGCTAGGTAGACAAGCTAATAATTGATACATTATAATGTATTCACTTGACACTAACAATTGTCAAGAGGGAAATCAGTCTTTCAGGTGGAGAAAAATCTGTTTAAGCAAGACCCTGTTACATGGTGAGAAATCGACCTCTTGTGCAACTCAGCATAGCCAGCTGGCTTTTTGGTCATGTCTGTAGCTCTTACCTCATGTTTGTTACCTTAGTCAGAAAGCTGATGGAAGAATGAGCGTTACAAATGTCCTGTATGAGCCAACTGCCAGCAGGAAGCCAAAGGAGTTGCCTGGAAAGCCACAGGAAACACCATCAGAAGGAATTATTCCTGTACAAGAGTGCTTGTTTCATTAAGAATTTTCCTTTCTCTGTCTTCCCCCACCATCCCTCCTTGAAACTGCAGGAAGTTTGAGCGTAGTCTTATCTGTCACATCTTCTATACCAAACTCTGTCTTATGGCTCTTATTCCTGAAACTTCAGGGTGAAGTTTGTTGCTAAGTGAGCTACCGAGAGACGCTTTTCTGGACTAATTAAACTTTCGTGACTGCTGGCTGGATTTAAATAAGAATAAAAGCAATTCAGTTGTTCTATTTATAATAATGGTTGCTGGTTTATGTTGTGGTGAGATTACTGAATTGATGATTTTCCAAATAGTGTTCAAGTAGGCAAGGTTTAATAGGAATATATAAAAATCGTGCAGGTCAAGATCTAAGCGGAAGATGTAGTTCAGAACAAGCAAGTATATACTTTCATGATGTGACTTCCTTATTCACAATGTCCCAATGTAAAGCAGCGGGGGTGGGAGATGTGCAGGAGTGCATGTATGTAAGCTTTGAAGTCATTTTGGTCAATTGAAAGTATGCTTCCCAGATCTGTGCTATTTACCAAATACATGGTTTGGGCTGTGCCAAATTTTGTGTTGGTTTAACTTGTACTCCATAGTCCCTAGTCGTGTTTACCAACATCAGAGGGATTCTATTTCACCTTTTGATAAGTCTGTTATCTTTTAGTATGTTGGCAGATAAACTAAATATGACTCCTGAAGAAGCGGAAAGGTGGATTGTCAATCTAATTCGAAATGCACGACTAGATGCCAAATTGGATTCAAAGCTGGTAAGATTGTATAGATGGATCCAAGTGAATTTGTTGAATTTTTCATTAAATTTCTTCTACCTTGTTTGGGAACAGCAAATTCAAGTTTCTGCTTCTTTTTTTTTTTTTTTTTTTCCTCTTCTTTGGCCAAAGGTGTACTAGACTTCATTTATTCTGTTTTGATCCTGTGTGTAAGGTGATGTGAAAGCTCTGAAAGCAGAGCATTAAATGAAAGGCATACGCATTCTGAGTGACTTAAATTTGCTCTGTTTTTCCTGTGGTTTAGGGCCATGTCGTCATGGGCAACAACGCAGTCTCACCTTATCAGCAAGTGATTGAAAAGACCAAAAGCCTGTCTTTCCGTAGCCAAATGTTGGCGATGAACATTGAGAAGAAATTGAATCAGAGTGGTAGATCTGAGGTTGGTATAAGTTACACTTTTTCTGAATTCCTGCTCTCTCTCTTTTTCTTAACTGTTCCTTAATTCATCAGATTTACCCACTTCTAGTTCTGCACTAGGAATTAAATAGGAAAAGATCTATTTTCTTATGCTGAGCATTAGACAGTGATTCTTGCTTTCTTCTTGCCTCCTCATCACTAGGTATTCCTTTTTTTGTTGTGTAACTAGGTGTGGTTTTGTAGTTATTTGATTCTATACTTCCTTCACATGGTCTCCTTCACCGCCTGAAAAGGGCTGATTTTTGAAGGGTGACACTTACTAAAGTAGTTGTATTACTTCTCAAGTACAATCCACTTGAAAAAAGTATCTGTAGGTGTATGTATAGAGAGAAGAATGAATGATGCTTAAGACTGAAACATGAAGGAGGAGTTGTGCAGAACCCTAACTGTTAAACCCACTTCATGTAGCACTAGGGACTCTAAATAGGTCATCCAGAGGTTTAAGAACCAGTGAAAATAAGGAAGTTGGCAAGATCATCTGGTTTTGCCTTGGTCCACCTTACAATAGGGAAGCTTTGTGAGGGAGAAGAACAGTGTAAGGTGGATGACTGAGGTCCACTAAGGACCCAGCCATACATACTTAAAAAAGACCCAAAAAAACCAAACAAACCAACCACACATTAAAAGAACTTACAAAATATTCAAAGTCTTATGAGACTTCTTCACTGGCTGGCTGAAATACTGATGGAAGTTGGACAAATAGTGGTGCATTAGTTTGTTCTATTAAAGCGAAGTCATGTGAAACTTAAGTGATGTTATTTTCTTTAAAAAATATAGCTGCCAAATTATTTATTTTGGAATTTTCTAGAACTCTTCCTTTTTGAAACTAGTAGCTTGGGGGACTCAGGCTGTACAACTTAACTGCAGCATGTATTTCTGCTATATCAATACTTGCTTTCAACTTACAGGGTATCCTTCACTAATTAGCAGTATTCCCACTTATTAGCCATATATAAGTATTTTTTTAATTTCTCATAAATTTTGGTAACCAACAGATAATGTAGTAATTTCTTTTCTACTAATCCTTTTTTATTTCTTTTTTAGGCACCTAACTGGGCTACTCAAGACTCTGGCTTCTACTGAAATACTTCTGCAGAGGGGGGAAAATCAGTTTTCATTTGACTAAAAAGCACATAAATATGTAACTTTTTTGAGAAAAGGTAATTATGTGTTCTGTCTAAGATTATTTGAATAAAATTGGCTAATTTTAACAGTCTGCGCATCTCTCTAACTTAACTAGTTAAGTATTTAATTATGTTGTATAGGGGCTTTTTTGCTAAAATGGTGTTCTGAAGCATTTTGGATCACCATTTGCAAAACATGAAACATCAATTCTGTTACTTCTGTTTGTACCGGAGGATGCCTGTGCTCTCAGCTGTCTGAGTCTGGAAGTGGGGAATTAGTTATTACCTATTGCAAGTGTCGCATTTAAAAAAATGAAAAGCAGATGGTACAAACAAGTGGATCCCCACTGAACATTTGGTCAAACAAAGTATTTTTCTGCACTTCCATGTTTTTGTTTATTTGTCACAGAAGCTTGGTAGAGTTGAAGGCATGTGTAGCCTACACCTTTTATGAAACCCAACATAATCTACATGCAGAATAATTTGAGTAGACCTCTGTGCTTACACTTCAGAATTTTTCCTGTTCTAAATCTCATTTTTATCTTGCCCAGTCTTGAAAACTTCCTGGGGTAGATCTTTTTGTTTCAGGGAGGAAAAAGTGTTTCAAAAGGTCTGGCTAATGAGCTGGTTTAAAGCTTTTATTCTAAAAACCGAAGTTCTTAAGATTCGTGAAGCAAACATGAAATGACAAAACCCTGCGTTGTTCAACTGTTGTAATTTAAAAGGGTTTTTCAAGTTTATGGGTGGGTTTGGGGTTTGTTTGGTTTTTTTTTTTTTTTCAGCCAGTGTGTCACACTTCTCTGGGTTTCCTTAGCACCTTTACTCTGCAGAACATGTCATAGCACCTCTAAGCAAGAAAATCCAAGCTCCTGTTTGGGGTTCTGTGAAGTATAGTGACTGATCAGTGAGGTGAATGTGAATATTGGAGAGGAAGAGACACTGTATCTGCGTACAGTTTTGCATCTAAGGCTGAGGGGAAAAACTAAGGACTGACCTTCACCTTATCCCAACTGTGTACCTTTTTCCTTCTTTGCTCCTAAAGATCTGGAACTCATCTACGTGTGGAAAGTTGTTTTAACTTGCCATCCCTCCTGCAGCAGGTTGGAGAAGTTGGCTGGTGGGAACACCTTGAAGTTCAGCAAAGCCAAACGTGGAACCCTGCATCTGGGATGGCATAACCTGATGTAGCAGTGCAGACAGGGGTCATGGACTAACTGGAAAGCAACTTTCTAGAAAGGACTTGGGGATATGGTGGACAGCAGGGTGAACACAAGTCAGCAGGTGGCCTTATAAAAAGAGACGTGCTCATAACAGAACCACAGCATCCTGTCTGGGATTTATTAGGAAAGAGGGAACAGGGGGGTTTATGGAAATGATTATTCCCCTTGTAACAACACTGCCAGAGGACTGTGACCAACTTGGGGTTTCTTGATACGAGGCAGATACTGATCCTCTGGTGCAAGTCCAGTGGAGGGATGCCAAAATGTGAGGAGGCAAGAGCGTGTGACTAAAACAAGAAACTGAGGGCGCTGAGTCATGTTCAGCCATAAGAAAAGGAAGCTAGCACCACATTTTATTGCTGTCTACTGTCCCTTCAATGGGAGGATTCACGGCAAGGCTGGTCTTGAAGGTGCAGGGGGGTGGGATAAGTGGCAATGGATACAGATTGGAACAAGGGGAAATCCCAACTAGATTTTAGTGAGTAAAAAAATTTTTTTTTTTTTTTTTTTTTTTACCATGAAGGTGATCAAGCACTAGAACCAGTCACGCAGAGAGATTATGGAATCTCCACCCTTGGAGATGCTCAACTTGACAAGTACTTGGTCATCCTGATAGACTTAGACCTGCTTTGAGCAGGGAGTTGGACTTGGTGACCTCCAGAGGTCCTTTCCAGTCTAAATTACTTAACTTTGTACTAAAACAACATACTTTAATACAGCAGAGTAATGGAAGTGGTTTCCAGCAGATGATTTAATCTAACTTCTCATTGTGTTACTCTCTAATCCTGTAGTGCTCACCATTGTAAAAATGGGGGGGAAGGGGGCAAAAATCCTACAAACATTCATAGCTGAGAAGATAATGGGTGTACAGGGCATTTGCAAGGAGAAGTATTCTACCATTACATAAAGGACTGTAGAAAAACAGAACTGGGATATGTGTGGGGTGGGGGTGTAGTTAACAATGGTTTCTTTAAGACATTTTCCTAAAAAGCATTAGGTTTTGGTTACTGACACGTTCAGTAAGCACTGATTCTGCAGGCAGCTTCTTCCGTGCTTTCTCCTGTGGATGCTCCTTGGCCGGTTGTTCTGGCTGTCACACAGCACTCCTTTTCTCCCATCCCCTTGTGCTGCACAACCATTTATGCCTTCAGAGAACTGACCTTGCTCTAATAAACCTGGTTTATTGTGCTTAATTATGTCAAAACAGTTGTGCTGGCCTAGCGGACGGGATTTAAGAAGCAGCGGAAATAAGCAGTTAAAGGTAGTCGCTGGCCTCTCTACACCAATGCAAAAAGCTGGTCTACAGCAGAAGGCTTCCTCTTATTTATGTATAGGTTTGGTTCCTGTGACGGGGAAGTTGCCTTGGGAGAGCAAGAGTTTCCTAAGGCTGAGCATGCTCTTTGTGCCAAGTTTCTTAACTGTTCCTCAAGTTTTCTCTCAGGAGACTGAAATGCAAACTGTAGATTTGTTCTACATCATCACAGCCCCCAAACACTTGCTTTAAACAATCCTCGTTGCGTAATAGCCATGTTCCCTGTTTGATAACACAATCACAAAAGTACTGTTGTGTAATAATTAAAGAATTTTAAAATGAGATAAAATTGGAATGTTTTTTGTAAACAGCAGGGAAAAGGCTGGAATGCAGCTTTCCTTCTGACAGGAAGAATTTACTTAAACAGAGTTTTAAAATCATCTCATCTCAGGAGACAACACTGTGTAATCACAGCTTTCCATTCTGTTTTTTCTGAATTTCCATCTGTCAGGTGCGCATGCGTAGAAAAGATCGGTGCAGATCGTAGCACTGCTTAAATTCGTGGTAGCTTCCCGCAGCTACTGAGTGAGACACCAGTTACATAAACAGTTTTGAGGCTTGAGAATTTTTTGTGTGTGTAAACCTTAAATTAAAACTTCAATTCAAAATGATTACAGTACCTTCTGGAAATTTATTGTGCATCAGAATCTTTTTTTTGTCATCCCCATGCTTTAATTCCTGCACTAATGAGCTACTGTAGGTCTCAAACATTTAAATCCTGGGGCAGTGACCACTGAAAGCACGGATTTAAGTATGCAGTCAGGTGGTTTTCAGAACAGGAGTTCAAAATGAGAATTTGTGTCACTTCCCAAAAGAGACCCTTGCTGGTCGGCTCACTAAAGTAGAAATCATAAAAATGATGTAAAATCCAGAGCAAAGTGTATTCCCTGGTGATATCTCAGGTACCTACCTGCAAGTATGTTGTAGGTAATGTTTCCAATTATATGAATTTCTTTTTTTTTTTTTTTTTTTTCAAACAAAAGACTACTGTCAGTCACCTGGCATTGCCTCTGCCTCGGTGAAGTTGTGAAAGTCTGTGTTGCTCTCTTTGAAATAAAAACCAACAGCTAGCTAAGGTGGTTGTGTGGTTGGAGAGGAGTGCGCATGTTCTCAAACGCTTCTGCTGTTCGGCAGTCAGGGTAATGTTGCTAAAATCATGATCTTAAATTGCATAGATCGCGCCTGGTTTCGCTTGGCGAAAGGAGAACACCTCGTTCAAAATCTTGTTATCCTGTAGACGGGGAAGGGCCTTAGTTCCCGGGGTCTCTGGTGAGGTAAATTTACTGTGTGCTTTCAGCAGCCCAGATAAGGATTTAGTCTGCCCCCACCCCCCTTCGTTTTCTTCCCTGGATGTGTCAGCACCGCTATTTAGAGAGATGTTTTGTTGAGCCTAAACCTCACGGTATGAAACCTCTTGCGGGCTGCACGGGAGGGTGCTCTGCCCTGCCCCTGCCGATGCTCGCGGGGCGAGGCGCGTGTGCTCAGCAGGGCTCGTCGCCGCGCGTCTTGGTAACAGGCGGCCTTCTGCGCGCGGGGAATCGAGGAGGTCTTCACGAAATAACTGAGGCACGATTGAGTTCGGCAGGGAGGGGGAGCAGAAGAGGGAAGGCAAAGCCAGGGGACGCAGCTGGCCAGCGCGTGACTTTGCAGTAGGTTGGCAGGAGATGAAACTTGCTTCAAGGGTGACAATCGCAAATTCCGTCATAACTTTCCATTGAGTAAGCTTTAGCAATCTCATTAGTAGCAATATTTTATAAACATCCAAGAACAGTTGTTCTCCTTAAATTAGACGAATGTAAGATCCACTTTGTGCCTCTTGTTTTGGCTTTGATTTTACCAAAATATTTGTAGTGACTGCTAAAAGAAGCCCACGGAAAGGGAAGAGAAGACGACCAGTTTAAGGCCTCCCTCTCTTTCCTCCTTTTTTTGGAAAGGAGGAAGGGAAAAAAGGTGGAAGATGGGGAAATCTTGTACTTCCCCTGCTGCAAGGACTCTTTGAACAAAGTTGGTTTATTTTTTTCAGTAAATTTGTTGAGCAGTTACAATGCTACATCGTCAATTTTTCCTTCTTTTGTAGAAAATGGAGACTGTAGTTTTCTCTAAACGTGTAACATGTAAAGCTCTGATTCTCTGGGGGTTAACATGTTTCATTGCTAACCATATTTAGAGAAGATGTGTTGTCATGTTTGTAATTTTTTTAATAAATTTTTTAATAGTTTCAATGAATGTCTTCTCAATTCCTGTCATAGAAATGCCATCAGAAATTAAGCCTGCAAAAGCCATTCAAGGATCTTTAGTTAAAAGAGGAGGGTGGCGGTAAGAGGAACAGTGTTGCTTCTGTAATGGGCTCCTCTGACACTGTACAAGTGTAAGAATGGTGTGAGGAACTCCCGATCTTCCCTGCAATTAGCTGATAATTAACCTTTAATATCCAAGAGGAAAGCAAAATGAAATGCCTGTGAGCTGTCCATTAAAAGGAAGGTTTAAACAAAATCTCACCAGCAGCTTGGAAAGGCAGACGTATTGCGCTCTGCTCCACAGTCATCACTAGGTTTCACGGCCTAAGACTCTGCTGTGGCAGCTAAAAGCACCGGCTGCTGGAGTCATTCTAAGTCAGAACCAGGAACTGGTGCATGGAGGAGGTCGGCAGAAAGTGCTGAGAGCACAGCGTTACTGAGGAGCGGACTTGGCTTTCCTTGATGCTTTTGTAAATAAACAAGATGGCAACAAATAGACACCAACCTCCTTGGAGCAAAATAATGACTTCTGAGGCCCATGGGTAACAGCATGGTGTGGTGGTTCGTACCAAGAACAGACTGCCCATGAACTGTGCAGGCGATGCTTGTGAGCTCCCTGCAGCCGAACTCAACAATTCAGTATCCTTAGCGAGGATGGCGACTGGCAACAGGAGCAGAGTTGTGAAACTAATTCATGTCCAGGACCGAGCAGCCAGCTGACGGGCTCTAAAATCATTTTCTTCCGTACTTGTATAATGCAGTCCTGATTAAATGAACTGTAGTTTAAAGATGTGAAAATGCAAAACTGCAAGCCTCCTAATGAATATTTTCATTTTGTGTGAGAATGAGCAATGCTTTGCAAAGAGCAAAACCATCATGGATTTATAGCTATCCAAAGATACATTAAGTTGGTCAAGTGGAGGATGGCTATGGCTTCTTTGCAGTCTGGACCAAGGAGTCAGCTGTATCTCAGCATCTTCCTTGACTCCGCTCCATATGCATCTTCGTAAGTACTACATTTGTGTCTTGCTCAGTGCATCCTCAGTGATAGGAGAGCATTCTGAATTCAGGCAATGTACAATCCCGATCGCCCCTTGTAGAAGAGTGGGCTACGTAGTTGCAGACTAGACCAGGCACAGCACACCTCACCCATCCACACTGTGCTGATGGTATGGACTAAACTCCATCCACTGTGTCCCAAAATATCTTCTGTATGAGGGTTTGCATTCATACATGCATTATGACCACTGGACAAATTTGAACTTTAGTATCAGGTAAAATCATAATGCACTATAAACATATTCCACAGCTTAAGGAGTTTGAAAACATGTATGAATTAGATTGTGATGTTGGAGCCAACCAACCCTAAATATACCAAGTTGGCCATGAAGAGAATTTTTAATGCAAACAACATAAAAGTTTAAGCTTGTTTTAGTAGGTTGAGCTTCTTGTTACAGTGAATATCCAATGTACATGGAAGAATTTGTCATGAAAAAAAAATTTGGATGCTTATGAGAGCTTGCACACATCGTCGTAGAAGTGTGGAAAGGTGCTGGCTGTGCTGTTTAGCTGCAGCTGGCTTGGCTGAAACGGCCACGGGCTGGAAGCTGCACTAGGTGAGTTTTTAAGAGGTGGGAACGTGCAGATTATATTCCTCTAATAATGACCATGGGCGGAGTATGTGGAATCAACTACTTAAGACAACTAGCTTTTTACATGCATGGTGGGAACACTTAATTGTGCCTCGGTGATGGGAGGTTATGGTATTTAAGGAAAAATTCTGCTGTGCCAAAGAGCCATTTCTTGAATGTATAGAGGTTATCGACCTTGTGATTGAACGATGAGCTGTGGAAAGATTAAGATTCTACACATGGCTTAGACACAGAGTTCTTGTTTAATCTCACAAAAAAGAAACATGTAATCTTTGTGTCTGCACTTAGAAGTTAAAGTACGTTTTTGGAGTATTGGGATGTTGACTTAATTATTTCAGTATGTTTTCATATGCTTGTACAGTAGGGGCCACAGAAATGCAATGTGTTATTTGATAATAATTGTTCAGATTATACTTAATTTGGGGTTTTCCCCCTATTTGTACTGCTTTAAGGAGTACTTTTCCTCCCATGATGCAAGACTGATGTATTTCTGAAGCGGCAAAAAGGTGATGACATTTAGCCAGTAGGAGTTTATCCTATGTAAAACCGCAGTTCATCCTTCTCACTTACATGAACTTTGCATCATTGTATGATTTCCTTGACGTAAAAACCTTTTTTCTAATGAATTTTGGCAAAGAACAAAGAATTTTTGTTTGTAATATAAGAAATTTTGAGGTTTGAGCATTATATAGAATAAAGAGCAACCTGTTTCTTTTCCGCAGGTTTATTTTTGACCTAACTAGGACTATTTGTTTAGTGCCATGGCTCTCTTACTGTGTGTGTAGGAAAAGGCTTATTTCAACTTCTTTTCCTCTCCATTCCTCACTTCATACCGCCTTATAAATCTCCCTGAAGGATCTGAGACTCACTCAGGGCAGACAGCTTCCAAAGCTTTGAAAACATTTATTGGAAATTATTAGTACAAAAAATATAGTCCAATATGTTGTATGATTTGAATATAAAGCAAGTGTTACCAAGAATGGGAAATGTCAGAGAATTCTGTGGGGTTCCAGGAGGTTCAAATTAAGTTAGAAGAAACAAGGACACTCATCTATTTTGGCTTTCAACATGGTTAGATATTAGGTTCTTGTACAAATTCAATCAGTGTTTTCAAAGAATATACTGTTTCAGCTAAAATTACTCGCATGGCTTAAAGGTACAAATAATTTGCAGTGTCCGTGCCCCACCAAGTAAACAGAATTTGTGAGAGGTCAAACACTTGTGATTATCGAGTTGTTACTGTATGTCCAACTATAGATTGGGGAACCTAATTTAGACAGCCATGTCATTTCAAATCTTGGCTACATTTTGTGAAGTGCCATAGGAGCCTTTTGGATCAAAGGTGCTTTATTTTAATAGTACAGTGAAGGAATACCCTTGATGTGAAATGAGCTTTCCATTTTGACTTCACTCAGTCCTCATCTCCCCCCCAAATCTATCCGACTGCATCTTGTTATATAATTTATCTGTCAATTCTGTCAAAAAGGAGAGCTTGTGTTACTTGGAGGACCTTCATGCCAATACCAAAATGAAAAGCAATGCACACTGCCAGTACAGCAATTGCCTGCAGGCTTATTGAATTTCTTTCTTCACTCCTACTCACCACCAAAACCAGCTCCGAAAAAAAAAAAAATCCCCCAAAAGGCTCGTAAGAAGTCAGCAGAACTGAAAGCTGATAAAATACTAAAAACTTTTCCTACGAAGAAAAAAGCAAAATTATATATTAAATATTACTAATGGGCTATTGTATATGAGCCAGACTCAGTAGGACTGTTGAACGTGTAGGCAGAGGGAGCCACAAAGAGGTATATATTGTGTTAGTTTAAGCCCACACATTCCAGTACCCCACCACGTTCTCTTTATCTTCACTTGCTCTACAGATTCTGAGTTGATCTCCTGGAGAGAGGCAACACAGCCGTCTTCTCTTTCACCCCCTCAATGTGTTAACTCTGCGCTTGTGAGAAGAGTAAATAGGATATAAAAGGTTATCTATCAGCTGGCAGGATCTGTCTATTTAACTAACGGTATCCATCTATTTGTGCTGGATGTATCAACTCAAAATTGCTGGTTCCAGAGCAGTGAAGAATCTGAGGTGCAGTATTTGCCCCCCACGGGTTTTTCCAGCTGTATCATCCTTGAACTGAGGAATTATTATGGACCTGTATGAGGGAGTACAGATAAAGGGTGTGAAGGGAAGGCATGGGGGAAGCCTCCACTCCAGAAGAGTGTTTGAAAGAGATGTCCAAAGAAACAGGACGTAGCACGTGGAGGAGAAGCCTGGGGAAAGTACAAAGACAGTATGAAACAACATGAAGCATGTTATGGCAAACAGGGAGAAAAGAAGCTGTCTGATAAGAAGAATCAGAAAGTACTGGGCAAAGTTAGGAGGAAGTTAGAGCAGAGATACGGACAAAATAAAAATTCTTGGTAGCTGTGAATATGGGGGAGAAGCATTGAATTTGCATCAGTGTGCGGGGCTCATCAGCCAATGGCATTGATAGAAATGTGATTTCTAAATACCTGTCGGCTTTAGTTAGTGGTAATAATGGGGAGGTACGAGCCGGACAAGGCATGATGGGAAAAGAAAGAGGATAAAATAGGCTCTGGTGTTTGTCTCTTAATTTTATCTGTTTTCTATGTGTTGGCTCATTAGGAATCATGCCTGCCTGCCAAGAGAGAAACCATTTTGGGTTTGCATAGTTGCAGCCATATGGGGGAAAAGAGATACAGTGTCGTCCCTGAAAAAATTTTGTTTTCTTTCTAATGTAAGATAAGATATTTTGGGCACACCGTGCTGTTTGCATGGAAATATTACAGTTGAGTTGAATGGCAGAAACAGAAATGGAATAATAAGCTTGAGGAAAGTAGTCTGGTTGGCAGCCTCCCGGAGGTTTTGGTTAGTAGTTATAACAATCCAAAAGCTTCTAGTACCACAAGCGTCTTTCTTTTCTTTTTGGTTTATTTGTGATGAGAGAAGAATGACAGAAAAGATCCAATTTTAAATTTCCAACATACTTACATTTTTTTCTCTTGTATTTGGAAGGGTGATTTATTAAGTGACACCGAAGCAGGCTTGCCACTGGGGGAACGGCGGACTGCAGCTCCCGCTATCCGTTGGACCAAGGCTCCAAGCTAGAATTTGCATAGGAGCTCTTATACAAAATACCACAAATAAATAACACGATGTGGGGATG